CATGGCGAGTCCCTGGATTCCTTTAACAGAATTCCCTTGCAACACCAGCATTGGAGGGGTAGGCACTTACCCTTCCACCAGCCAATTTTTTAACCAATGCCTAACCGCAAACCTTACAAGTTGTGACGATTTGCTATGCAGTAGGCAAAAACCAAATGGCTCCAGCCAATCAGCCAAATAGACAAAATTCCTACCAGGCCCCTGCCCCAAAAGCAGGCAACCCCATGACAGGCATAGCAAGGTCAAGCACAAAATCCCCAGTCCAGGGAGGGTGGGCGGGTGATCTGGTGCACGCAGCAAAAAAGAACGCTCAAAGCTGCGTGCCCAGTATTTAAAACCTTTGAGCCCAACCCACAAATTGGCAACATCGAAATCTCACCAGAAACACAAGTACCCAATCACAGCCTGTAGCCATCCAAACAGATCTGCTCAGCAACAGTGGGGGGGCCTGCTAGACCCCACCGCAACACGTGCTCTCTATTAAGGAGAACACGCTTTCAGGGGGAAGCTGCTGCTACTCCTGCTGCTGCAAGCACCCGGCGCAGGGAGGAAGGAGGGAGCCTGCCTGCCTGGCCAGAGAAGGAAGGAAAGTGTCAGGGGCCTAGGAGGAATGGTGGGGGCTGCCCCCTTCTCCTGAACCTTCTCAAGAGCAGGAGGACAGTATAGATTTAGAACAGTGGTTTGCAGAAGGGCATAGTTCAGAGACTGCAGAGGGGGAAAGCTGGGAAATATTGGAAGAGGAACAGCAGGAAGAAGAAGCATCAGGGGAGAGACAGCTGACAGACTCAGTGTCTTTAGACAGCATTCCTGTCCCCGCTTCTCCCAGGACCAGACGGGCATTAAGAGTAGTAGAACAGAAAGCTCAGAGGCAGAAAGCCCAGATGAGCCGGCGCAGTGGTGATATAGGATAAGAGACACACAGCGGGTTGGGCTTTACTCTGAGCAATGCCATCACTGAATAAGGACTACATCCCTTTCTCTCTCTCTGTGAATACTGAATAAATTATATGGTAAGGACTCTTCATGTTTATCTTCGTGTTTATTCCCTGAACTTTGACAGAAAGGCTCCAGTCGGCAGGGAAGCCCAACCTACGATATATTGCTGGGTCAAAATGCCATTGTGATCTGGCCCTCAAACCGGTCCTGGACGATTTATTGACACATCACCCAGGCCTAGTGTGGGCCTTGGAAGTATGAACATGACAGGTACACTGAGGCCCAGATGGCCAATATTCACTCAATGTGCCTGCCTGGCCAGAGGGCATCCTTTCTCTAGCACTGCTGCAGGCCAGGCCTGGAAAAGTTGACTGAAGAGTGCTCTCAGCCCAACACACGTGTTGGGACGTGGGCAGTGCTGTGATCTAAAGTATTGAGCCTCTTGGGCTTGCCATTCAGAAGGTTGGCAGTTCAAATCCGTGTGACGGGGTGAGCTCCCACTGCTCTGTCCCAGCTCCTGCCAACCTAGCAGTTCGAAAGCACACCAGTGCAAGTAGATAAATAGGTACCGCTGCGGTGAGAAGATAAACAGCGTTTCCGTGCGCTCTGGCTTCCGTCAAGGTGTCCCGTTGCACCAGAAGCGGTTTAGTCATGCCGGCCACATGACCCAGAAAGCTGTCTGTGGACAAACGCCAGCTCCTTCGGCCTGAAAGCAAGATGAGCGCCGCAACCCCATAATCACTTTTGACTGGACTTTTTTTCCCCTTTTTTTACCTGAGCCCAACAGTGCCTCAGGTATCATCTCAATCCTTTATTAAATCCTCACATCTGCCCAGACTAAATGCCAATTGAACAAATTAAAGAGCACTACTGCAGTCAGTCAAACAACCTCAACAGCATGAAGTAGGTGAATAAGAGAATACCCCGATCCAATATGGACCTTCCCCCAAAAATCCTACTCAGCCCCCTGTAAAGGATGAGAGGGGTGCCAGAGGAAGAAGAGGGAAGATTAGCATGAAGGGGGCTGAAATAACTTTTTCTCTGCCTTTGCCCCATTGGGCAAAATGCCCCACATGTTCCTCAAAGCTCCTCCTCTTTTTTCCCAAGGGAGTAGGAATGTGAAAAAAATCACTTTCCCTGAAAAAGGGGAAATTGCAATGCTGTAGGAGACAAATCTCCACCTGACCCCTTCCAGCGCTTTTCCTTTTGTCGTCGTTGCTGCCAAGAGATTGCTTTCAAGTCAGACATCAATTGTGGGCCTTCGTCCTCAGCATAACTGTGGGCAACCGGCCCTTTGAGAGAGGGTCTCCGGCTCCCTGCAGAGCCCAGGAATCTCTCCTAAGTTGGGTGGCACCAATTTCTAACAACAATGACGGCCCTTCAATTTGTTCAGGGAAGAGGATGGCTGTGCTGTGCCAGGCATGGCGCCAGAGGAGAAATCTCTTTGAGGACTTTTCCAACACCTGTGCGCTGGGGCCTCCAACCAGCCTCGTTCTGCTACAAAGAGGAAGAAAGGGGCTTCTGATGCCTGATGTTTATCACGGAGCTGGCCCCTGTCCAAAGGGGAATTAGATGTGTGTGAGAGAGAGACAAACGCCTTTGAAATGGCAGCTGGGGGAGATGCAGCAATGAAGGAGGGTGGTGATGCAGGAGGAGGATAATGGATGCAGAGTAGCTTGTTTGAAAAACAAGGGGAGGGGGTGTGCCCTTCTGAAATGGCACGCGCAGTGGGCTGGCAAGGATGAGAGAGATCGCCGAGTTGGGAGGAAGCCCACGAGTCGCCTTGGTGACTCAGACCCTTCCTGGCTCCTGGTGGGAACCACTGGCACAGAGCCGCAATTATGCAAAAGTAGAAGTGGACTAAGTGAAAGGAGAGATTCCCCCTGCCTGTGGGGTGGTGGCAGCGGGGACTTGAAAAGAAAAAGGAAATGCCAGGGGGTTGTTTTTGTTATTTTATTGCCTTCCACACATATGGCTCAAAGTGATGGACAAAATGCAATAGAAACTGCTCAAAGCAGCAAGCAGCAGATGTGTGTGTGTGTGTGTGTGTGTGTGAGAGAGAGAGAGAGAGAGAGAGCTTTTAAAGAAACAAGTAGCTAGATACCCATGTCAGAGACCCATTCATTCAGCTGGGAAAGCCTGACGGAACCCAAAAAAGAAAAGAAAAAAGTCTTTGGTTGTTTCTGGAAGGTGCCAATAGGGGGCTCCTGTTGTGTCTTGGCAGGCCCCATTCTGCCACCGGAGGCTCCCAGTATCAGCGGTAAGACACCTTTGTGGCCTGCTAGGCAGATGCTGAATGAGCACCCCCTGTATTTTATGTCCCTTGTACATGGCGTGAGGGTGCTGGCTGGAGTCAGTTCTTATGGCATTCTGCCCCCTCTTCCTTCTGCTGCTCCCACATTCCCTTTGTGACATTCAATGTGACAGGCTACTGCACCACGGAGTCCCACCCTTCCTTCCTTCCTTCCTTCCTTCCTTCCTTCCTTCCTTCCTTCCTTCCTTCCTTCCTTTCCTTCCTTTCTTTCTTTCCTCCACACTGAGTGGGCAGTGCTAGTGGTCGACCATTGTAAATACAGTGGTACCTCAGGTTACATACGCTGCAGGTTACATACACTTCAGGTTACAGACTCCGCTAACCCAGAAATAATGCTTCGGGTTAAGAATTTGCTTCAGGATGAGAACAGAAATCGTGCTCTGGCGGCGCAGCAGCAGCAGGAGGCCCCATTAGCTAAAGTGGTGCTTCAGGTTAAGAACAGTTTCAGGTTAAGAACGGACCTCCGGAACGAATTAAGTACTTAACCCAAAGTTCCACTGTAGCTTCATTTGGTTTTATTTGGTTACTTTCAGTGGCTAGGTGTGGTGGGGAAGAAGGAGTATTCAATTAGGTGGCATCCTTAGGCAGTGGTTTAGACCACAGCGCCACTGAGCCTCTTGGGATTGCCGATCAGAAGGTTGGTGGTTCGAATCCCAATGATGGGGTGAGCTCTTGTTGGTCTGTCCCAGCTGCTGCCAACCTTTTGGTTCAAAAGCACACCAGTGCAAGTTCATAAATAGGTACCACTGCGGCAGGAAGGTAAACGGCATTTCCATGCGATCTGGCTTCCATCACAGTGTTCTGTTGCGCCAGAAGTGTTTTAGTCATGCTGGCCACATGACCCAGAAAGCTGTCTGTGGACAAATGCCGGCTCTCTTGGCCTGAAAGCGAGATAAGCACTGCAACCCCATAGTCACCTTTGGCTGGACTTAACTGTCCAGGGGTCCTTTACCTCATCTACCTGGAGCTTTGATACCCGAAGAGGTAATGATGCTGGAAAGGCCTCTATACCTTAAAGGTGAGACTTCGGATAAGGGATAGGAGGTACCGTATTTTTCGCTCTATAACACGCACCAGACCATAACACGCACGTAGTTTTTAGAGGAGGAAAACAAGAAAAAAAATATTCTAAACGAAATAGTGGATATATGATTTTTGTGGTTCATGCTGTGGCCACAGACATGTGATCTGACAGTGAGTTTGGAGTAGCCCAATGCAAAAATCCTGAGGATCCATGTGGATCCATGCTTTGTAACCATGGAGGAGGGAAGGAAGGGGAACCATGGATCCTCTGCTCACGACTGCAGCAGATCCCCCCGCCACCCGCAGGCATTCGCTCCATAACACGCACAGACATTTCCCCTTACTTTCTAGGAGGAAAAAAGTGAGTGTTATGGTGCAAAAAATACGGTACTTATGCCTTGCCTCCATTTTTGTTCAGGCAGGGCTGGATCTGCAGGCTTGTTCCTGAGGTTCAGCTTATTCCCACATATTTGGTTTGTTTGGTTTAAACATAGATAAACTACGGAATTTGCTCCCACAGGTGGGTGTGAAAGCCACCAACTTAGATGGCTTTAAAATAGGATTAGACAAATTCATAGAGTTGGCTATCATTGACCATGAAAACTATGCTGTGCTGGCCCAGCTGGCCTATCCCACATGTGTCCAGGAAAACTAGGATATCCCATTTTTTCTTGCAAGATGTCAGCGGCCATTTTGGGTGCTGTGATCTCACATGCTGTTGTGCTGTGATTCCCCCCCCCCCAAAAAAAAGAAGCTTTGGGGGGCATGATCTTGCATTATACTCCAATATGTGCATTTTGGGGTATTGTGCCCGAAAAAGCACTTTTTTTTGGGGGGGGGGGAATCACGTGAGATCATTGCACCCAAAATGGCCACTGTCCTCTCTCACAAGAAAAAATGGGAAGATGGTGTCCCGGAAGATGACATTCCAATTTTTGCCTTTGATATGTTGGTGAGTATGAGTTAGACGAAGCAATGCTTCTGAATACCCATTTCTGGAAACCTCAGGAGGGGATAATGCTGTTGTGTTCAGGTCCTGCTTGCAGGTTTTGCAACAGGCATCTGGTTGGCCACTGTGATAACAGGATGTTGGACTAGACGGGACCCCATTGGCCTGGTCCAAGAGGCTCTTCTAATGTTTTTGAACTGACTGTGTCTGATTCACTATTTGGTCATCAGGTCACAAGGAAGCTATTCCACAGAACAGGGGCAGCCACACAGAAGGCCCTGCTCCTCTCAGTAATTGCAGAGCAGGCTTCTGAGATCTCTGGAATTCGCAGGAGAAACTCTCCCGCAGACAACAGGGGTGGTCTGAGCATTTAATTCCAAATAAACAGATGGCAGTGAACAGTTCATGACTAGCATTATCAAAGAGTGTGAGGATGGCTGATAGGATCAGCTCATGTCATTTCCCTGATGTGTGTCCTGAGAACGGATCGATGAGGTTTACCAAACACCTGGGAATCCCTTGTTATCTCAGGATAACAGCCCCGGGATAACAACCTCTGAAGTTTTGATGCTCCGTGCAAGTCAATCAATACTATGAGCAAAGCTTTGGGGAGGCTCACACAACCCTCCCTCCCTGTTCTTTCCCACCTCCTCTTTTTCCTCCTAGGCAACTGAGGGGTGATTGACTACACTGAGAGTAAGGAGCTCCGGGATCTGTTACCTGAATGACATGCATTTAATCTCTTTGCGGTTCGCTCAGCGTGGGTCAGCAGCCTTAATGGGATCCAGCTGCGGCACTTCTAATAATTTCCCTCAGCTGGAGTGCTTCAATGACTATGTTTAAAAACAGAGGGCTGTTTGCCTCCCGCTTCCTTCCTAAAAAAAACACACCAAAAAACAAATATACTGTAGGGGAACCTAATCGAAGGGTAGAGTCTATATATCACATATATAGCTCTAAATATCAGTCTCTGCTGTTGCTGCTGACTTTCCCGGCTTGTTTGGGCTGGAGTAGGGAGGGGGCAGGAGAATTTCAATTCCGTTCACCTTTAAAGGCAACGATACCTAATCCACACTTTCTGAAACAATGCAAGGACCGAAACGCAGCCCACCTTTGAGATCCGCGCATGTCCCCAGATTTTGCAGCATGGCTCACTGAGCAAGTAATGCAGAGAAAGATCCATAGACTATGGTGGAGTAAGCATAAAAGCACACATCTAAGTGAAAATAGCATACAAGTGCATTATTATTCAGAGAAAAGGTAAGTAAGATACAACATGATAGAAGTTTATAAAAGGAACAGAAAAGACTCTCTATGTATGCGACAACAGCCGCGTGGGTGTTACCAGCCCAAAGATGGAAAGAAGACAAAGTCCCTACCAGAGAGGAATGGCAAACCAAACTGATGGACTATACCCCAAAACTGACCGGAAAGCTCAGGAACCAAGATGACAAAAACCATAAGAAAGAATGGGAAATTTTTATAATTTATTTAGGAGACCACTGTAAGCAGATGAAAAGATTAGCAGGATTTCAATAACACTTGTAATGGAACAATTTACTGTGAACAGTATGGGCAGATACAAAATATGGACTATGAAACAATATGCAGTTGAAAATGATGACAATAAGACCCATGGAGGGGATGGGGGAATGTCTAGAGATTCAGAGAAATCTCTAAATGTGGATATTTATTTGGTATTATTATAATTTTACACTTGTAAAATCAAATAAAAAATATTCTAAAAAGAATTGTAGACGTTTATAAAATTTGCAGGGCATGGAGGAAGTGGTTAGAGAAAGGTTTTTCTCCATCTCTAGAAAAGCTAGAATTCATGGATAGCCAAGGAAGCAGAATTTTGGAAGTTTCAGGACAGAAACTTCTGTCTGTGTTGTTGTTTGTTGTGTTACATATTTTGTGTTTTCTGTTTATTTTTTATGTCGTAAACTGCCCTGTATTCTCTGGATGAAGGGCAGTATATACAGTAGTACTTCGGGTTAAGAACTTAATTCATTCCGGAGGTCCGTTCTTAACCTGAAACTGTTCTTAACCTGAAGCACCACTTTAGCTAATGGGGCCTCCTGCTGCCGCTGCACCGCCGCTGCACAATTTCTGTTCTCATCCTGAAGCAAAATTCTTAACCCGAGGTAATATTTCTGGGTTAGTGGAGTCTGTAACCTGAAGTGAATGTAACCTGAAGCATATGTAACCCGAGGTACCACTGTACATTAAATAAATGCATGAATATACTTCTTCATTCAGCACATAGTTGAACTATGCAACTCAGTACTGCAGGAGGCAGTTATAGCCACCAAGCTAAAAAAGGTAAAGGGACCATTAGGTCCAGTCGTGACTGACTCTGGGGTTGCAGTGCTTATCTCACTTTACTGGCCAAGGGAACCGGTGTACAGCTTCCGGGTCATGTGGCCAGCATGACTAAGCCGCTTCTGGCGAACCAGAGCAGCGCACGGAAACGCCGTTACCTTCCCACCAGAGCGGTACCTATTTATCTACTTGCACTTTGACGTGCTTTCGAACTGCTAGGTTGGCAGGAGCAGGGACCGAGCAATGGGAGCTCACCCCGTCGCGGGGATTCAAACCACCAACATTCTGATCGGCAAGTCCTAGGCTCTGTGGTTTAACCCGCAGCGCCACCTGCGTCCCTTAGCCACCAAGCTAGAAGGCTTTAAAAGAGGATTAGACAAACTCACAGAGGAGAGGGCTATCAATGGCTACTAGCCATGATGGTTATGCTCTGCCTCCATGGACAGAGGCCGTAATGCTTCTGAATACCTCACCCTGCCAACTGCAGAAAGGCAGCAGGCATGTATGCATGGCAGGTAAAGGTAAAGGACCCCTGGATGGTTAAGTCCACTCAAAGGCAACTATGGGGTGCAGCACTCACCTCGCTTTCAGGCCAAGGGAACTGGTGTTTGTCCACAAACAACTTTCTGGGTCATGTGGCTAGAATGACTAAACCGCTTCTGGTGCACAGAACACCATGATGTGTGCCAGAACGCACGGAAACGCTGTTTACCTTCCTGCCGCAGTGGTACCTATTTATCTACTTGCACTGCTAGGTTGGCAGGAGCTGGGGCAGAGCAACAGGAACTCACCCCATTGTGGGGATTCGAACCACCGACCTTTCGATCGGCAAGGCCAAGAGGCTTAGTGGTTTAGACCACATCGCCACTGCTTACAGGTTTCCCACAGACATTTGGTTGGCCGCTGTGAGAACAGGATGCTGAATTAACTGGACCACTGTCCTGATCCAGCAGGCTGTTTTTATGTAATAATAATAATAATAATAATAATAATAATAATAATAATAATTTATTGTTTATACCCCGCCCATCTGGCTGGGTTTCCCCAGCCACTCTGGGTGGCTTTCAACAGAGCATTAAAAACAAAATAAAACTTCAAACACTAAAAACTTCCCTAAACAAGGCTGCCTTCAGATGTCTTCTAAAAGTCGGATAGTTGCTTATTTCCTTGACATCTGATGGCAGGGCGTTCCACAGGGCGGGGGCCACTACCGAGAAGGCCCTCTGCCTGGTTCCCTGTAACCTCACTTCTCACAGTGAGGGAACCGCCAGAAGGCCCTCAGAGCTGGATTTCAGTATCCGGGCAGAACACTGGGAGTGGAGACACTCCTTCAGGTATACTGGGCTGAGGCAGTTCTTATGGAAGCTGGAATGTAAGAGGCCAGGAACAGATTTGGAATACGGAGATGTAAGAATGGAGCTCACACTCAGGGCGAATGCTGCTTGGTTGCTGATGGAAATTACTGTTGTAAACTTTGGATTTTCACAGCTTTTTGGATCCCACCCCCCGCCTTCAATATTCCACAATTGTAGGACCAGCTGTGCTCACAAATAGCTATCTTTGCTTGGCGATCCCTGGACTCACACTTCTTGCTTCCATGTTGGTACCAAAGACCTCCTTCTGTCGTAAATCGGGTCCTACGCTTCCAGAGGAAATGGGCAATAAAGGGTTTATTTCTTCCCAATAAATGTTGCTAGGTGATGCCATCAATTATTCACATCCTCGCACGGTGGAGATGTACACTTTAATAAAATGCAGAAAGGTTTTTAATTTTTCAGAGCAATAAAGACAATTGATTTTCTGACTCTCATGATGAATAGATGGATTTTAATGTCTCCCTGTTGAAGTGTTTTGCATTGTTTTAAGTATATATCTCAATACACACAAACAAACAAACACACATGATTTGAAATATAGAGATTGGCGTCTTAAAGGTGCTCACTTGGAATCAAGCCCCCAGTGGCCCTTACTGTGCGGAATGGGAATAAACTGTGCGGAATAGGGATAAATCCTCTGAATTTGAAATTCTTTCTTTATTCCCTTCCACAGAGGCCTCAGCATTAGCCCTTCCGTTACACGAATTGTGCCGCCTTAGTCATCTTTATTTGCTCCGTGTTTTCATAAACATTTACAAAATATTAATAATGTACAAAATCTATTTCATTTCAATGGTAACGGCGAGGCGCCAGTGTCATAAATATGCAGCATAAGTAACAAGGAGGCCTGCAAGCTTGGAGATGGCATGTTATCTCACTTGCATTTAGAGTATCTATCTACACATGGATAGATTTTATGTCCCAGTAAACTAGGAGAGACAGAATGGACTACCGTGGAAGGAGGTGGACTCTCTTTCATTGGAGCTTTTTAGGCAGAGGATGGATGGCTATCTGTCAGGGAATCTTTAGCGGTGTTTCCTTCATGGCAGGAGGTCTGACTACATGACCCTTGGTGTCCTATAACCATAACTATGGTCTAAATCCTATGATTCTATGAGATATGCTTACCACAAATTAAGAACTATGATGAATGGGGCTTACTTCCAGGAAGGGGCACTGGTGGTGCTATGGCAGGCA